CCTGTTAAAAATATATATATATATATTTTATAAAAAAAAAAAAAAAAAAAAAAATGGAATGAATGACCCCACTCGCATTCTTCCTCAATGCATGTCCTTTTGTTTTTTATATGGGAATTTGGATAGTGGGTGAATGGAGTAGAGTAGAACTAAAGCCAAATATCTAATTATTTCACCCTCCAAGAAACCCTAATCAATACCCCCAAAAGTTCAAAACCTATTCTTTCTAACCTACTACTATTTTTACGAAGTGCCTACGCATCATATATCAATATATATTAAAACAAATATATTATCCTACTTCAATTACCCTTTTTTTTTTTTTTTTTTTTTTTTTTCGTTTTTCTTATCCATCCTCGGTTCATTTTTCAATTCAAAACTATTTATACATATAAATAGTTAGTGGAAAAATAAGCAACGAGTACGGTGGGTGGAGCCTTTCTTTTTAAACCTCAAAATGTGTAAAGTGATACTACCTTACATCATTGCTAGTAAAGAGAGAGTGGGTGAGGAGATTATGTAACTACTCAATAGGCAAACTGGCAAAGTGGGTACCGAGAATTGACCCATCGTACACAAAATACACTCATTTCAATTCCAATATATAATATATAATATATACATGTATGTATATATTTCCATTTCTTTTTCAATTAATATTTTTTCTTTAAAAGGAGAAAAATGATTTTTTTTTTTTTTTTTACCGCATAAGAAAATGTAATTATGCTGTCCGTATTTTTTATTTTATTTTATTTTATTTTTTTTCTGAAAAAGAAAAAGTAGTTAGAATAATAATGGGATTATCTCTATTTTATGGGCATTGCTGTAACGAAGGTTAGATTGCAAACAGGCTTTTCTTGGTCAATGGTTTTGGAGCACAGGAAGCGATATTACTTACCTTAACTAGTAGTAATTCACTTTTTTTTTTTTTTTTTTTTTTTTTTTTTTAATTTAAATTTAAAATTAAGAGTATTACGAGAAAGAAAAGAAAAGTAGGTACCTATCTTTGTGAGATTGGAATTTAGGTGATGTTTCGCATTACATAAAATACTCAGATAATATAGAAAAATTTAATTGCTTAGAATCCTTTATGAAATTCTATCTTACTATACGTTTAAGAAAAATATTATTTACTTTTTATTTAATTCGTGTAATTAATAGTGATTTTAAGAGTAATGTAAGCGATCGATGTAAAAAATTTCAGTTAAAACAATTACAACAATAACAATAGTAGTATGAATATTAACAATAATAAAATAATAATTATAATAAAGATAATGTGAACATAATAGTAACGAGTATCAACAATAATAGCGATGACAATAATAACAAAGATGAAGAGATGATAATAATATTGGCAATAATAGTCATTGTAATAAAGATGAGACTATAATAATATTGATAATGGTGGTAAATTCATAACATCAGCGATATACTTAGTAAAAATAGTAGAAAAATGAATATAATAATAATTGTGGTTGTGACAATAATAACTAGAAAATAATGAGTTCAGTAGTAATAATAGTGAAAATAAAGATAATTACAGATATATATATAATAACAGTAAGAATGACAATAACAACATGAGTTATGATTGTAGAGATTTTATCATTTTCGTTAAGGAGTAAAAGTGAAAAGAGAAAAAAAAAAACACTATACCTAAGATGAGTAACATTGGGAAATTGGCAAGTAAGTATAGGTAGGATGTGTGTTA